ATGTTTGTATAACCACAAGTGAAATTCGTAATTGTCAATTTTTCACAGGGGTATAAAACAAGTCCGACTCGCATATTGGTTTGCTCACCCTTATTTTTTTGAGTCGCACTCAGAATATAAAAAAAAACGGATCAAACAAACTAACTCGCCATGAACCGGGTTGGTAGTGGAGAAAAAGTATTTTTTAAATTTTTAATATTTTTATATATTTTTAATATTTTTATATAAAAAATATATTTTTATTAGATATTTAGTTTGTTTTGTCTAAAATTTTAATTTTTTTATTATATTTCAAATATTTTTTAAATATTTAAAATATTTTTTAAAATTATATATTTGACTCTCATACCAACTCGTTTGACTCGTGAGATAAAATGATGTAGGTTGGATTGGTCTATTTTTTATTCGTTAAAAAATAAATTAGATTGGATTGAACTAAAATATTTCTAAATCGAAACGAGATGGGTTGGACTGACCTGATCAACCCGTTTTATACCCTAATTTTTCACAAACAACGTCATCTCCACTTCCATTTTCTTCCTTCTTTGATTCAAGTTAGTATTTATATTTTTCATTCTTACTCCTGTTATTTTATTTTTTTTTAAAGATGGACATATTATATTCTAAATCATATTAGTTTTTTTATTATTATTAGAACTGCAACCATTATTTTTCGGATCAAAAGAGGAACTCGTTGCATAAAACAACAAATTGTAAGTGACAAAAAAAGGATAATAACATAGAAATGCCTGAACTTTTACAAAAATCTCATATAAATATTTGAACTATAAAACTTCCATATAAATACCTGAATTTTTAAAAATTCTATATAAATACCTAGACTTTAAAAAAAAATCAAATAAATAAAAATTTCAAATATTTTTCAAATAAAAATAGGTGATATTATTAACATATTTTGGATTTATTTGGAAATTGTTCAAAATTCTAGGTATTTATATAGGACTTTAGAAAAGTTCCGATATTTATATGAAAACTTTATAGTTCAGGTATTTATGTGGGATTTTTATAAAAATTAAGGTATTTTATATGCGATTTTTTTCGCTAATCGCATATAAATACCTGAATTTTTACAAAATTCTCTACTAAATACATGAACTATAAAACTCCCAAATCAATGCGAACTTTTCAAAATTTCCATATAAGTACCCAAACTTTTAAAAAAATTCCAAATACAACAATTTTTGTTGACGCCGTTAATCGACGAAATGACGGGATTTCGTTATAAATTAAACGGCGTTTATGAAATTTAGTTGTATTTGAAAGTTTTTTAAAAATTTAGGTATTTATATGGAAGTTTTGAAAAATTCAGGTATTGATTTGGGAGTTTTATAGTTCATGTATTTATTTTGAAATTTTATAAATTATTATGTAATATAACTATATGATCGTTGGGATACTAATACGTACACATATCGATTATAAAAAAAATGGAAACTAAAATATACAGATATATAAATTTAAATACTAAAATTGCCGAAAATAAATTTGATTAATCCTATATTAGATTATGTGCTTGGATAAATAGTTTTTACTGCATATTCATAACAACAAAAAATAAACTATTTAGGGAGGATCATTCACAGATTTCTTAAATTCTCTTTTTAAAAAGATCTAGTTATATTGAAAACTCGATAAATACAAAAAAAAAAATGTAAATGTGTACTAGATCGGTCGATCATGACCAAACAAAATCTGAACAATACTAGAGTGTTTTTTAGTGTTTGAAGAAAAACAAATTTTTTTCATGGTTTTTTGCACATTTTTCATGTTGTATAATTATTATGTATACATATAACTATATATTTTAGCAAATGTTTTTTTAATCTTTTTCTTTACGCGTACATAATTAGTTTGAAGTTATTTGTATTTTCCTATAATAAAACAATTCTTTTTTTTTGTCTCCTGTTTCACCCCAATAAAAGGGGGTTTCCTCTATGCGTTTCCCCAAATACCAAAGGAAAAAAAAAATTAAAAAGAACATATTTCCCCTCTCTCTCTCTCTCTCTCTCTCTTCGCGGTGAGTTTTCCTGTCCTTTGATTCGATTGATTTGTCCTTTGATCAATGTTTCATGTTTTCGCTTCAAATTTAATGCTTGATTGTTTATATTCGATTTTGAATCTGAGATCATCGAACCGTTTGAGTTTGGGGATCGATTACTGTTTTCCAATGCCGAAGAAAATAAGTCGTCGTTTCTCGTCGGTTACCAATGGAGGGGTCGTTTTCATGGTGGGCAATTCTTTGCACATCGGAGAGACGGCCCACGCCAACAAGTCGCACTTTCTTTCTTCCCTGACGATTTTGCCCCTTGTTCTATAAATGTCCATGTCCAAACTGTTTCTTTCTAAAAGGATCGCTTTTTTGTTTGTGTGTTCGTGGGATTTTCGGTGGGTCTTTTGTTGAATTTGAGAAATTGGGGGAAATTGCTTTTCGAATGCTTTGAAGCTGTTATCACCATTATTAGTTCTGCTTTGAAGGAACCAAAAACATCCAGATTGTTTGGTTGGTTTGATAGAATTAGGGGTGGAGACCTTTGGGGGTGGGTTTTGTCGTGTGTTTCTCGTGATTTTGCAGAGTATTTGGTCAAACTATATGTCTATTATCTGTAGTTTTCAACTTCTGTAATGTTTAATTTTTTTTGTAGTTAATTAGATTTTTTACTTGAAAAGTTTCCCGCAGAGAAACGTGTTTGGTGGGAGAGAAAGAGGAGGTTTGACTGCCATCGGGCTGTCAATGCGGAAAAATTGACAGCCCGATTTGGGAACAGCACACGGAAACTTCCTGGTAAGGGAAAAGAACATGTCCCAAGAATTTTGGAATTGTGCCAAGTTTGACATTTTTTGAAGATTATTCACGTATTTTACGTTGTTTTGTTGTAATTACACCATGTCATCTATATATATGTGTGTATATATATAACGGATCTTTGTGCTGAAGAAGAGCTCAATGCCATTTTTTTGCTAGATTCGGTTTGAAAGGCCGATATGGGTTCTCTCCCTGGGATAATTCAGCGGCCATTGGTTGCAGCCGCTGCCGTTGTTGCAGCTTCTTTTTCAGCAGATGTCTCTGGGAAGTTTTCCTCTCTTAGATCCCTTGGTCGGGTGTCTGAATCGCAAGAGATTTCTGCTTCGTTTTCTGGTTCGGTGCAGAATGAAGGGTCTTTGTGGGTTTCTCAGGTTTTGGTCTCTAAGCTTGCAAATTTCTCGTTCGTGACTAGGATTCCGGTTCCTATACCGAATGTCAGCCTTCCAGCTCCTAGTTCAAGTTGCAATCTCGATATTTCTGCTACTTCTTTGTCTACTCTTCGTAGTCTCTATCAATCTGCGGAATTGACAAAGGCATCAAAACCGGCCACATTTACAAACGGGTCCTCGACCTTGGTTCCTGATGTTTCTTACAGATGGCATTTGCCGGAGCCTAATGCAATTGATTTGTCTGGTTCCCCGAAGAACAGAACCGTGGTAGTTTTGCTTGGATGGTTGGGATCGAAGCAGAAGCATCTGAAAAGATATGCAGAGCTTTACACTTCGAGGGGTTACCATGTCATTACCTTTACTCTCCCCATGAATGAAATTCTTAGCTACCAAGTCGGAGGAAAAGCCGAAAAGAACATAGAATCGCTGGTTTGCCACTTAGCTGATTGGTTGGAGGAAGAGCAGGGGAAGAATCTTGTCTTTCACACCTTCAGCAACACTGGATGGTTGACGTGAGTTCTATGCCTTTACTTTCATTTATTTGCACGTTCCTTGGACAAACTGTTGCATTTTCAAACTGAATTATTCATCTGTTACATACAGATATGGAGCCATTCTGGAGAAGTTTCAGAAGCAGGATCCGCCATTGATGGGAAGGATTAAAGGTTGCATTGTGGACTCTGCTCCTGTTGCTGCAGCTGATCCTCTGGTAAGACGGTTAATGAACCCATAGAATTCGAAATGTTTCTACGATTACTCTGAAAAATAAAGTTGGGTGTAAAAACGAGCCGGCTCATTCTGGCCGGTCCGGATCGTCATGATCTCAAAATTTTTGGGTTTGATTTATTGAACAAGCCAGAAAAATGTTTGGCCCTATTTCGGCTCGCATGGGTTGTGAGCCAAACAATCCGGCATGCGGACTAAACATTATAAAAATAATGAAATAATAATGTTTTTTTGCGGCTTGTGCGTTAGCTCGTGGCTCGGTTAAGCCCGCCGCCCGTGAGCTGGCTCGTGAGCCCGGACTCGTTTTACACATTGCTTCATGGAGAGTTATGCATATTGTGATAAATTTCGATGCATCTCCTAAAAAATCTATCTGGATACTAATTTAGTTTGTAAAAATAGGTCTTTGCAGCAGGTTTCTCGGCTGCATTCTTGAAGAAAAACAGTATAGCCACCAAAGGATCCACAAGCGTGAGCGGTATTAAGTTCTCCGAGCCTAAACCTGCTGCAACAGAGACTGTTCTTCTCTCTGTTCTCGAGAAATTCTTCGAGGTGGTTCTGAATCTTCCCAAAGTGAACCGGTGAGCCTTTAGCCCTTTTATTAAGATTCCAATCACTACTTTCGTAGCAAACCCATCGTATCTTTCGTGTAATTAAACTTGCATAATTCTGGTCCCGATATTTACAGGAGACTTGCCAATGTACTGGAGGTTTTGTCATCGGAACAGCCAAAGTGTCCACAGTTGTATATTTACAGCACGGCGGATAGAGTTATACCTGCGGGATATGTGGAATCGTTCATCATAGAGCAGCGGAAAGCGGGCCATGAGGTTCAAGTCTGCAACTTTATTTCCTCACCACATGTAGATCATTTCCGGAATAACCCCGAGCTCTATATGGCCGAGCTTACGCATTTCATGGACAATTTCGTCCTCTCTCGTCCCAGGCATTCTTAGAAACTTTCATATGCATTCCTTCTGTTGTCATCTCATAATTTTTTTTTGGTTCTAACTCTATACAGAAACTACACAGATTGATTGATTTGGTGGTATGTAGATTACCAAAAGAGCTGAAAAAGCTCTGAGAGGAATGTTAGTTAAACTTTCTTTCTCCTTTGTAAGATTTGACCATTTGTACATTTTCTAAGATAAATATTCACATATATACATACATATATATAGTTCATTATGAATTTAAATTGATGTCAGTTTCGACACAATGTGTACAAAGTGCACACATGCAGATCTGTAGCTTCACCGCAGAAATTGTAAGAAATGTTTCATTCATCGAACAATCTTGACATTTTCCATTATTGTCCTTATTCAGTCTCTACATAAAACCATTTTCCATTGTGGGTTCTATGTTCCTTGCAAAACGAATCAAACCTTTAATTACATAATTCTGGACCATAAGACTTGTAAAAATTTTATCTTTTGATTTAAGAAAATGGATCCCCAACTCTTTTTAAGTGATGATGAAATTCTGACACGTTGACAAGGAGTAGAGAATATTTGAATGAACATAAGTCAAATATTTCACAAAAAAAAAATATAAAGGTAATTCCCATACACATATTACTTGCATATGAACACTTGCATATAAATAGAAACACATGCAACTCGGTTACTTCAGGAGTTACAACTTTAAAATAACCACGACATCTTATTTTAAAACTGCCATAAACTCCTCTAAACTTCCAACAGCAACATGAAGTTCATAAAATAACCATTTAATGCACATTAGTTACACATAACATATGGCAACTCTTCTTCTAAAAACCTTCTGATTGTTTTTTTTCCTCAGGTAATAGTCCTTCTAGAAGTGACATTTCTTGCCACAATACCAAATTAGGCTTTGCTATTGGATCACTTTGATCTAACCATCGACTTGTTTTTGTTTTGTTGTTGTTGTCCTCTTACTGCTAAACCCTCATCTTGATTTCTTATGCTCTTTTATGCATTTAGTCTAGTACTTGGTTAGACCTTATAAACAAATTTTACTCTTTTTTTTTACTTTCTCAGCTATAATAATTTTTTTTTATAATCGAGTGTATTGAACAAAGGCAGAGTCTAATCGACTAATCTCGGGATCGAAAGTCAGTTATGTGATTTGGAATATACACATCCTCCCCAAATTTGAGGTTTGAATTCGACGGAACAGACGTTTTGCACTCCGTTTCACCAATTAAACTATCCGAGTTTAGATTTCTCTACTATAATGATGGCTCTTGAATACTTATAAACTTCCCACAACTAATCCTAAAGAGGAAGGAGAGAGTTCAGTAGATACACTTCTATAAATAAATCCATCATTAGCCTTAATTTGCAGATTTTACACATTTCGTAACATTTATAGAAAATGTGTAAATTCATCCTTCTTGAAACTCGAAATCCTCTGCATTTGATAGATTTTATTAGGTTAAGATTGTTCTAGCAAAATATTTTCTAAAAGTTTCCGAAATCTGTGAATAATACTTTCATGGATCACCTTCTTTAGCTTGCGGAAGAATTTAATTATTAGTTTGTTTTGTCCATTAAGTGCCAAAGCGTAGAATGCAACCATGAAATTTCTTTCCATATTAAACAAGTTCTTTTTTAAAGATGCAACTAATATTTTCAAGGAATCACGTAACATATAACAAAAGAGTCAACTACCAAAAAGGACTAACAGGAATGATTCAAAAATGATATCAACAAAATTTTTGCTTGTTAATTGTTAATATTATTGGTTGTGCGGAGAATTATTTCATGACTACTGAATTTTGTAACAATATCATTATGAATCTGTGCAAATAATGGACCTGTAAATGAATTTTATTGGTAGAAACATAATGAATATATCATACGGAATAGATTTCATATTTGGAAAAAAAATATTACCAAGACGGGCAAGCTCTGGTGACTGAGAGGCACAAAGTGTTTCTCACCCCATGATCGAATCCCACATGGGGAGGGGGGGAACTTTCTCCCGGAGATGTGCCCTGCCAACTCCGGACCCATGGGTATGTACGCTTACCAAATTGCATATGGTGGTTTATGAACCAAACCTAAAATGGACCATCCGGCGTTATCGCGGGCGGATTATAACGTAAGATATCTGGTTAAAAAAATATAGTATATGTGTAAGAATAACAGAAAAATCAATCATCATAATACCAAAACAAACATGTGGATTTTTTTAAAGAAATTTTAAAACAGAGAATTGAGACGTGGGGGAGAGAAACCTTAAAGCATAGGAACAAATATAGTTTTGCGATGAATCCTCTGGCGTCCCTTTAAATATAGTTTACACGTCCAATTCAATTATTCATGGAGTGGATATTTCGCTTTCCGCATATAAAATTACTTCAACCTTCAAATAATACCCCGAAAAAGAAGCAAATTTCAAATAAAACCTTCAAATAATACAGAAGAATCAGACCTATTCCCGACATTTCATTACACGATCTTAGAATTTAGTATATTCATTACTGATAAAATCGGATAAACCTAAACAAAATCCGAACCTAACAAAACAAAATGAAGATACATTATAAAAAAAACAAAGCTAAATCTCTCCAAAAAGAGACTCCCTGTTTAGAAATGACACCGAATCATATGAATAATCATCAGTAGTAACCAGAAACCAATTTAAAGTCTCAAAAGACTACGTGGAAAAAGAGGAGCGAGAGAAGCATGTGATGGGGTCTTTACATACAGCACAAAGTGGGTATTAACGTCCACATATCCGTCAGGACACGTGAAAGGAATACGATCATCAAACGCAACTGAAAATCGAGACAACAAAAAAAAAAAAACAGAATTTATCAGAAAATGTTAGCCTAACAGTGTAAACAAGTAGAACTTAAGAGAACATACATTGTTTCAATCGGGTTTCGGCTGGAAAGATCAAAGGAAATAAGGAACTCCGGTCCTCGGCCCTCTCATTTGATTGTTCTCTTCTGTTTCAGTGAAGAACTTCACTTCCCTTTCCTGGTTACAAGCATATTGAGATCATAAACCCAGAGGATCAGATCCTAAAACCATTTCCATGACGACAGTTTTTACACAGATAGAGACAGATTTTATCCATACGAGCTCACAAACATTAAGGTGCAATGCAGTATTCAACCTAAAAGGATCACGGAATAGATTGTCCAATCAAAGAAACCAAATACTCTCTGTATTGTCTAAAGATTTGAGAGACAAAACAATAGTTAAAACTAAAGGTATGAAACCACAGCTTTTTAGATATCGTGGAATAAATTCTTTTACGTAAGAAATCTTTTTTTTCAGATTGCTAGTCATTCCTAAAACATCACTCCAAAACAAAGAAAGCAGACGATGTTTGGGTAGAGAGAAAAATATAAGAGGAACAGAAAATATATCATATTTTAATAAAATAAAAATGTCGAGTTAAACATATATGCGCAAAACAGGCATACAGAAGCAGGGGAAAATGATCAAGAAGATCAAGGCATAAGTAAATTAACGCAAGCAATGCTCTAAAGAGCAGGCAGGAGGATATGGAAAACCAGAATATTTGGAAGAATGAAACGATCTTAATGGCTGACCATGTTCTCGTTGAAACTCAATATAGAAGCCACATTCCCGCAGCGATAGCAGTAATTGGGAGCTGACCACACCTTCAAGATTTTAAAGAAGAACCTCATCAAGCAGATTATACTTGTATACATCACAAGAGTAGAGGAGTTAGTCACAGAAAGCACTCTTACAGTTACTAGGCCTTTATCTTGGAACATGTACTTGAGACCTTCTTGCACAAGCTGGTGTGCCCGGCAAACTAGATCAAGATTATTGATGTGGTTGAACTGCACAAGTATTTAAACAAGAAACAGCAACAATTGGCATTCAAGTTTCAGACAAGTGAAACTGATGAAGAATTCACTATTTGAGTACAAACTATAACCTTATCAGTTTAGAAGTTGCAAAATGAATTTCTAATTTACAGCATAAACTCAAGATTCACAAGCATAACATTACCTCAGAAGTAACTCGGGATCCGAAAAGCCAACCAGCTCCACGTGGACTCACAGCCCATGTTTCAATATCTTCAGGATCACTCCACATAAGATCACAGAAAGGTCCTTCATGTGGAATTTCACAATTCCGCTCTATGAGTCTTATCTAAAGGACAAAATAAAATTTAAAAATAAAAAATCAGAGATTAACTCAAAGATAAATATACATGGTGAGACACAAGTACAAAGGAGGAATAAATACGAAAAACCAAAAGGAGTTTTACCTGGTCAATTGTCCGTACGTCTGGGGAAAGACCACCATGAACACACAGAACCTTCATCAATGAAGTGGTAAATTTTTAATAAATATTTTGAAAAGATGTGAAGTCGCATAATACTTAGAAAATCAGCATGATAAACCTATGCAATTCTAAAGATAAAAAAACAGGACTTACAGTGCCATCTATAATAGCTGACACAGTAAGATAGTCAAAAACATCAGTGCAGTATCGCCACGCATTTGCATTACCGTACTTCCTTTGACATTCGTCATAGAAGCCATACACCTGGAAAAGATAAAATTGAAATTAGGTTGTTTGCTCATATGATAAAAAAAAAATATCTAAACTGACCCTCTAAAGACACAGCATCAGCTGAGAACGTAACGTAGACCTTTACATCCACAGCCAGACACCTATCTCTTCATTGGTAGACGGGATATAGTCAAGGATTAAAAATAAATCACTGGCATGTTTAATGTGTTACCGATGCTTTGATCATTCAAATAAATAGAACCGGGTATTATAGAAGAAAATCCAATACTCTAGTTACCTCACCCACTTCTAAGACTTGTGCACATGACTTGAGACTTGTCAACGAGTACAAACATTTTAATCAAACATTTTGCAGGTTTAAGGAAACCAAATTCAATGGCATTGTACGATTGGATCTATCTGGCCTCTCAAATGTGGACTTAAGCTGTTGGGAGATAAATTGTTCCTAATTGACCTGTGATCTAGTATAATATACATGTCTGAATTCAAGAATCAATTATGTAGTGTGACGTAACTGCATGGTTGGGAGCATCTCTAATATTGTGAATCCAAACTGAAAATAACGAAAAATGAATTTCTGATGTAGTGTGCACGCTAATGAATGGCCATTGTAACATGAATTTAACCATCATGACCATAGTTTCACCCTTCCACTTCCTCCACGGCTGTGCATGTTACAATAATAGAATAATGCAGGAAAATATACATCAAGAGATGCTAAAGGCAAATAGGTTCCATTTAAAGAAAGAATCTTGTGGGACTAGCTTTCCAGGAAACTGAAGTTAAACAGATATCTTAGAAAACGCATGTATACATCTCACACGACATAGCCAAATGTGCAAAATTGGAAATTTCAAAATTATGTTATAAGTTATAAAATTGAAATAGTTAGCCAAGGCAATTAGTTCTGTTATTATCTAGATAGGATAGGTATGGAAAGCATTGCAAGAACAGACAACTTAGGCATTGAGGCACATAATATTACACACCTGTGTTAGCTGTCTGCTTTCATGATTTCCACGCAAAAGGGTAATATTTGCAGGATATCTGCCGAGAGGAACAGAGACAAACGAAACAAAACCCAGATTAAAGCGCACATCAAAAAAACAACAACAACAGAACAGAAGTCAGAAACATAAATTTCAAGAAAAGAGAAGATTTATTTCAAATGAAGCGGGTCAATGTTACCATTTACACAGCCTTCGCAATAAAGCTGAAACATGAAACTTATGTGAGCATATTCCATTTCTCTGCTATTAGCAAGAAGGAATAATTCATGATAGGTGTCTCTTTCTTAAAAGTCCTAGCGTATAGAATCTCAGGAGTCAGGAGTAGATTGACAAGCATCCACCTCTATTTTGGACAAAAGCTACACGCTCTATTATGTTACTAATGGCCAAGACAAAGTATTTACTGGATAACCATTGACTATCTAGGACAAAGCAAAGCACAGCAAAAATGGCAAATGAGAGGCATAATTAAACTGTCACTAGAGTTTGTACAAGATTTATAATAAGCTGACCTTGCTTTAAGGAGCAAAAGAATAGTAAAAACTTCGAGGCTGTTGTAACCTCTATCAACAAAATCCCCCTGCCAAGGTCTCAAAGAACATTAATGCCGTCCACACATTAATGGGCCACAAGAAATACCATCCACTGAAAAATTCTTACCATAAATATGTAATTTGTCTCAGGAACATGACCTCCAGTAAGGAAAAGCTTCATAAGATCATGAAACTGCCCATGGATATCACCACAAACAGTGACGGGACTGTTGACAGGCTGTACGTTTGATTCCTCAATGAGGATTTCTTTTACCTGTAACAATTGTCATTATCTATATATAAATAAACATTCAGTGCTGGGAAAGGAAAACGAGCATGCTTCCAATTTCGCGATCTGTAGTTAAAATTCAGGTAAATTAACAAAATTTTATATGCAAAAAGACCCAAGAGAATTCTTTCTCTGTCGTGCAGTCAAAGAAATTTAAACAGCTGCATAAGCAGGATCCGAAATTGAACTTAACCCCGAAGAATTCGCAATTAAATCACCAATTGGTAGAGATTTTCCCAGACCCAGACTATAGATTTCTAAGAACAGTACAATATATGGGCAAATACGAAGAGCCCTAATATCCAGAATGAGAAACAACACGACATGGAGATGGTAGACCAAATTCAAGGTCCAGTTGCTCCCATGACGAAGATAAATCAAGAAAAGGCATTCACAAAAGCTCCTGACAACACTAATCAAAACGCGGAGCAACGCGTTCGCAGATGCATGAGTCCTAATCGAAGAGAGAGATGGCAAGAAACGACAGAAGAAGAGAGTGTACATATTCGCAGAGAAGCTGAAGCTCGTCCTCCGTTAGATGTTGGCCTTCTTTGACCTTCGATATCCATTGATCCAAATCCATTCCGTCTTCTCTCTCTGTATACGTGTGGGGATGCTGGCGAAAATCCCTCTACCTTCTCCAAATTCAATGGCGACTTTGTCCGTTTGTGCGAAAGAATTAAGCAAAATAGATCTACCAAAGCATGTTCCACTTCGCTAGGGTTTCGGAAGGAGGGAGAAATCAAGAGAGAGAGAGAGAGAGAGAGAGAGAGAGAGAGAGGGGTCGCTTTGAAAATGAGCGAACGAACAGAATGTAGGAAAAAATTGCGACCCAATTAATTGGTCTTTGGAGCATCAAAACTCGATTTAGAGTCAGTTCATTCCCACCTAGGGGCGGACGCGAGCCATTACCCGTTTCTTTTGTGGCATATCCGATTTTTTTATATATTTTTTTAATTTCTCGGTCCGACCATCTGGCTTTAGTCCCATGGCTCGGATCCGTGGGGATGTCTTGATGATGAAGATGTTAGAAAAAATCGGTGCAAGATACACGAGAAAAAATATAAAAGAAAAATAGAATCGAAAACAACAAGATAGATTCAACCTTGATATAATTTTCTAGACGTGATTCTACTTTTCTAAAACGTTATTTCCTCTCCACCAAGCAAAGTAGAAACCCGACTGTGTTGCAATTAACACCGCGTGTGTTACATTTGACACAACTCGTTTTGAATCTAACACTGCTCGTGTTGCAATTAACACAACTTGTGTTATATTTCTACACTTAAATTTCACTACTAAATATAAGTATATACTTCAACAAACACATAATATATTTTATCAATTCATATTATATCATTTACGAATATATAACTGTTGGGATTCCTGAGATCTCGCTAGCGATTCATAATCTTAGAGATTAGGTTCTAAGGTTCATGCAGCAGAAGGTATAAAATAAAAATTTTCTAAACCAAAAACCCTAAAACCGAACAAGTATGATTGTAGATCTATGAAAGAAACACTAACCTCTTCGATCCAGGGTCTATTCAAATAGGCTAGATCGTTGATCACAATAAGGCAAGAAGAATACCAACGGCTTGGAACTTGTCTACTAAGACTAAAGAACTCGTTCTCTAAAGCGCAAGGGTTATTGGGATCTATATAAGGGTTTTAGACCTCAAAGAATCGCTCAAAAGGTCTGAGAAGTCGTGTGTCTTGTTGGGTTTCCTGTGATCTCTAGAGCGAATCCTATTCCTAAGAGATCGATTCTAGGGTTTGCGCAGCGGATGTAAAACAAAAATTTATGGAACCCTAGAACCATGCTTCTTATGAATCGTAGAAAAGTAAAAACGCTTACCTAGTCGATCCGGGGCCTGTATCAATTGAAGAACTCGTTCGATCACGAAAGGGAGGAAGAATACCTCGCCCTTTATACGTATCCACACCTCGGGATGAATTCCAACGATTGGAACTTGTCTGTTAGGACTCGAATCTTCTATTTGGTTTTGTGCTTTGAGAAAACGGGACTTCGATCACACTCTTGAACCTCTTGGATCTCACCAAAAGTATGTCAAAAGTGTTCTAAAGTCGGCCACCCTTCATTAGGGTTTAATCTCCTTCTTATAAAGTGATTTAACCCTAATTTCGGTTTAATTTTCGAAAAACCCGAACGCCGGAACGGACGGTCCAGAATTGCACTTGGACCGTCCGTTCCAGCATGTAGAACGGACGGTCTGCCTTTAACGTGGACCGTCCGTTCCATCATGTAGAACGGACGGTCTGCATCTTAACATGGACCGTCCGTTCCAGTCTACTGAACGGACGGACCACGCGTCTGGACTGTCGGGTCTGGACCATCCGGACCGTCTAGTCTGGTTGTTCCGATCCGTCCGATCTGGACCCTTCCGACTCGGTTCTTTGTCGTTTTCTCTCGTGTATTTGTCCTTCCCTCCGTGTGTGATCCTGTAGGCTCATTCGATATAGCAGTATAACCCGAAATCTCTATTCCGGATATACAAGTCATAGGCGGTCTCTAGCTAGACACTATGACTACCTATCTCGAATAGAGTTTGTTCGTGATCTTACGAACGCCAGCGATGATTCCGGTTGATGATTCTTTTGTATCGCGTTATCATATGTCGAACATAAGGCATGGACAAGCCACCTTATCTGATTCGACTGCTTTCTCGTTCACTGAGTTTGACTGTCTGAAATAGACGACGTTCGTCTACAGTGCGGCCACACATTTCTACAGCCTCGCTCACACGAGGGGCCCAACGATATCTCTCTCTTTTACGAGAGGTACAAATCCCGTCTTGACTATGTACAATCCAACACATGATTCGTTTCGTACCTGATACACGTCTTTATAGTCCTCCTGTTACGCAGGACGTTTGACGTATTCAAAGCACGCAACTCCTCATGTTGGATTCCGTAGATATCTCAGATCTCAGGATCCAATCATGGAACCACCATATGAGATTCAAGTCATGACGCTAGTCCATGTGACAATCTCATGCGGGTCATTGCAGTATTCCGTTCTTCAACGAATACCTATGATTGTGATCGTATCCAATACCTATGATCATCTATATGATCATCAATCACACATCATACTAGTCTTAGTATATCATTATTCCCACAATGATACATGACTAGGGAGTTTAGTATTGTTCATAACAATACATGGATTTCATAACATATTCAAGCATGCACAATATGTAATGAATCAAACACTCATCCATAAAACCATAGAACGTGTCAATACATCAAATGTATCATAATAAAGCTCGCATAACACTACATCATAGAGCACTAAACCAACAATCTCCCACTTGCGTAGATATCTCAGGTCTTAGGATCCAATCATGGAACCGTCATATGAGATTCTAGTCATGACTCTAGTCCATGTGACAATCTCATGCGGGTCATTGCAGTATTCCGTTCTTCAACGAATACCTATGATTGTGATCGTATCCAATACCTATGATCATCTATATGATCATCAATCACACATCATACTAGTCTTAGTATATCATTATTCCCACAATGATACATGACTAGGGAGTTTAGTATTGTTCATAACAATACATGGATTTCATAACATATTCAAGCATGCACAATATGTAATGAATCAAACACTCATCCATAAAACCATAGAACGTGTCAATACATCAAATGTATCATAATAAAGCTCGCATAACACTACATCATAGAGCACTAAACCAACAATCTCCCACTTGCTCTAATCATGGACTGCTAAACATCTAATGCCCATATCCCTAACATGACCCTCATGCTTCAACGAAGGGAGAGGCTTCGTCAACGGATCGACAATGTTGTCATTTGTCGACACTCTGCAAATGTGCACGTATCCTCTGTCTATGATCTCCCTGATAAGGTGAAATCGTCTGAGTATGTGTTTGGATCGTTGATGGGATCTGGATTCTTTCGCTTGTGCGATCGCTCCATTGTTGTCACAATACAGAGCAATGGGGCTATCAACACTAGGAATAACACCCAGGTCACCAACAAACTTCCTGATCCAAACAGCTTCCTTTGCTGCGTCCGACGCCACAATATACTCAGCTTCTGTAGTAGAATCTGCAACGGTCGCTTGCTTGGAACTCTTCCAGCTAACATCTGTTGGTTTAGTGCTCTATGATATACTATTATGCGAGCTTTATTATGATACATTTGATGTATTGACATGTTCTATGGTTTTATGGATGAGTGTTTGATTCATTACGTATTGTGCATACTTGATATGTTATGAAATCCATGTATTGTTATGAACAATATTAAACTCTCTAGTCGTGTATCATTGTGGGAATAATGATATACCAAGACTAGTATGATGTGTAATTGATGATCATATAGATTATCATAGGTATTGGATACGATCACAATCATAGGTATTCGTTGGAGAACAGAATACTGGAATGACCCGCATGAGATTGTCACATGGACTAACGTCATGACTTGAATCTTATATGGCGGTTCCATGATTGGATCCTAAGACCTGAGATATCTACGGAATCCAACATGAGGAGTTGCATGCTTTGAATACGTCAAACGTCCTGCGTAACATGAGGACTATAAAGGCGTGTATCAGGTACAAAACGAATCATGTGCTGGATTGTAGATAGTCAAGATGGGACCTCTCGTAAGAGATAGAGATATCAATGTGCCCCTCGTGTGAGCGAGACTGTAGAAATGTGTGGCCGCACGTCGAACTTAGTGAACGAGAAAGCAGTCGAATCAGATAAGGTGGCTTGTCCATGCCTTCTGTTCCACATATGATATCGCGATACAAAAGGATCATCAACCGAAATCATCACTGGCATTCATAAGATCACGAACAAACTTTATTCGAGATAGGTAGTCATAGTGTCTTGCTAGAGACCGCCTATGAC